CAGTAAAGCAAAGCAAGGGAAACGAGCCGAAAGATAGCAAAAAATGCATGACACGTATGGGGTACGCTCCACATATATGCGACAATGACTCAAGAAGCACAGTACAACAGCAATTAACAGCAACAAATTACATACTCTGTGTTGGAACTAATGAAGAGTGAGTGAGCAAAAAAGGAAAGATGTCAGTATAGACATGCGAATATAGTTTTAGGTTTGTCTTCGGTTAATTACTAGACGCTCCATTTTGCGCATCACCTGTTGTGGTAATAATCGCTAAAATAAGAAGTAAATCTAGTGTATTTAATTTTGTCTTCTCTTAATTCTAATGTTGTTTTGCATTTACTAATTCGGTCATGTTCATTTTCAACACTAAAGAGCAGACGTCACTATGAATCAACCGCTTAAAAATGAGCTTATAATGCTTTACATGTTTATCTTGGATTAAATAAGTCTGTTATAATTTTAGCTGAATGTCCGCTCTATTAAGATATTTACCCATACATGAGGAGCATACATGCCACTGAGCACATATCGCTCTATGAGGGTATGTACCCTTATGTGAGGTTTATACGTGTCAGTGAGCAAAAAAGGACAGATATCAGGGTAGACAGTGGTGAAGCTAGTTTTCGCGATTCGGTCATGTTCATCCTCACAACAAAAGAGCAGACGTCACTATGAATCAAGTGCTCAAAAGGAAGCTTATAAGGCTTTTCACGTTTCGTGGACCGAATAAGTCTGTTATTTTAGCTGAAGACTGTCCGCTCTATGAAGTTATTTACCCATACGTGAGGATCATACAGGCCACTGAGCTGATGAGCAAAAAATGACACATGTCAGTGTAGACAGAGGTGAATATAGTTTTAGGGGCGTCTTCGGTTCTTTTTGTGCATCACCTGTTGTGGCGATAATCTCCAGATAAGAAACCAAACTTGCTTATTCAAAGGATTTTCTTTTCTTCATTTTAATATTGAATAGCGTTTCGCGAATCGGTCATGTTTACCCTCACAACAAAAGAGCAGACGTCACTATAGCTTAGGTGCTGAAAAGGAAGCTTATAAGGCTTTTCACGTTTCGTGGACCGAATAAGTCTGTTATTTTAGCTGAAGACTGTCCGCTTCTATGAAGTTATTTACCCATACGTGAGGATCATACAG